CTAGAAGTCAGACTGCAAAGAGTTTCATTTTAGGGAAGTTCCTCAGTTGTCTTCTATTTTCTGTTTTCCCAGAATACCTCTTGTGTCAAGGGATTTCTTCTGGATGGAAGAGCATCGAGTCCTTTAAGAACAGCCTAGAGAAAAGGTGAGAAACTTGCAATATTCTTTGCCTTCTTTGCTGTGGAATTATAGCTAGCGTAGGCCTAGAGAATATTTCTTGCCTGGAAGACTGAAACAGCCCCTAAGATTAGCAAGCTGCAGTCAGTGATGAAATAGGGCATAGCAATTTAACATGATTTTCCGTGGGCAGAAACAGCACCTAAGATTAGCAAGCTGCTGCCGAAAAGTAGGACCATGAATATTCTTTCTCAGTAATCCAAATTTGTTGAATTATTTGTTGAGTTGACGACTGAAACAGCACCTAATTAGCAAGCTGCAGTCGGTGATGAGATAGGAGGATAGAATAGAGCTTTCAGTGGGCAGAAACAGCACCTAAGATTAGTAAGCTGCTGCCTATAATACCACAGGAGATGAAGTTTGGCTGCAACCAGCCGTGCTTATACTATTGTAGCTGACATTATAGAAATGAAGGGAAAGATATGTATGAAATTATTTTTTCCATGACTGTCGTGGTGAGTATTTCCGACGTCTGTTGGTTTCATTTCCCTTTGCGAAGTTCAACATTTCTCCCTTTCCTGTTTGAGCTGGCCATGTGAGTTGGCCCATTGTTGTGGCCAGAACCGTAGTCGTAGGTTGTGATAATTGCCATAAACAGCTCCTGGGACTCGTAGTGTGATGCCTGTGAACTCTTCTTTCTTAGAGATGACTTTCTGTACTTGTGGCCTCGGTGGCCTAGTGGTAGTCTCTCGGACTTGCAACCATAAGGTCGTGGGTTTGAATCCTGTCAGCTGCCTGACGTTGTGTCCTTGGTACAGGCACTTTACACGAATTTCGTTCACTTCACCCAGGTGGGAATGGGTACCTAGAGACAGTGAAAGGTCTTGTCAGATTGTTACTGTTGAGCTCTGAATCAGCTGCTTGCACTGTATGCTTCCCAGGGAGCTGAGAATGTTTCTGAGTGTTCTATAGTCTGCTGGGGTTATAGATCTAGTGTTCTGTGGTCTGCTGGGGTTATAGATCTAGTGTTCTGTGGTCTGCTGGGGTTATAGATCTAGTGTTCTGTGGTCTGCTGGGGTTAT